TGATGCAGTTTGAGTTTGATAGTTTGATGCAGTTTGATGCAGTTTGATACAGTTTGATGCAATTTGATGCAGTTTGATACAGTTTGATGCAGTTTGTGTGTTATGAAAAACTCATGTGGACTTTTATTATAGTTTATAAGTTAGTAGTCTGTAAGTTCATTCTTGAGAAATTATGTCCAAAATGTTCTTAATATGTTTTTCTAACTCTATAAAGTTCTTGTACAACAGAAATTCTTATAGACAAGCGTATCTACCGTTTATAAATTCAGGTCAATAAGCTCATACTTTTATATATTATTCATATCTTATACAAAGCGTCCTGTAGTATGTGTTACTCTGATTCGCTCCCATACAGATAAAACCCTCAAAGCGTAGTTCGCCCAATGACACCTCTCTGTGTTTGGGAACCTCCCGGCATTAGATGGCATCTGGCCTCGGTGTGCAAACACGGCGGATTAACCTCAGACCTCTGAAGATGTGAGTCAGCTCTCAGCAGCAGCTGTCATCAGAGAGACTGTACGGCATTGTTTTATACAAACCATGAACCGTGTTGTTTGTGTAGCTAAACACATAAACACTACAGCTCAAAAGTTACGCCTTTTCTTCAATAAGAACTTTTTGAACAGAGACAAAAACGGTTTAATTCAGTCACCATATGTTTCAGTCAGAGTTGAAATAGTTTTGACCCCAAAAGAAGATTCAAATGATTCAAACTTGTATGTAGTCGATGCCTCCACAGTGTTGCATGACTTTCTACAACCTGAAGATATAAAAGATCATTGAAGATTACAGACGGTGGTGAATGTTAAAATGTAAATGATGTGTTTACTTTGAAGACGTCACCAGTTGATTGTGTAAACATACTTTCATTAGTGTACCTTAACAGTGAGTAACGTGTCTCAGACAGACATGGTGGCGTTTAAATGTGTACATCAGTTGGTGGTATTAACCCCCCCCCCCCCGTGCTGCTGTGTGTGGAATTTCACACGTTGGCACCATGGTTACACAAAGCGGTGCCACAGTTACGCAAGCCAGCACGGGATCAAAGACTGTGGACTTTCACAAGCACTCACCAATACTAGCTCATTTTCTCCTCCTCTTCTACTTCTTCTTCTTCTCTTACGTCTTCTTATTCTACTTCTTCTTCTCCTTCTCCTTCTTCTTCTCTTACGTCTTCTCCTTCTTCTCCTACATCATCGTCTTCTTCTTCATCTTCTTCTCCTACGTCTTCTTCTTCTCCTACATCTTCTTCTTCTTCTTCCCTACATCTTCTTCTCCTACGTCTTCTTCTTCTCCTACATCTTCTTCTTCTCCTACGTCTTCTTCTTCTCCTACGTCTTCTCCTTCTCCTACATCATCGTCTTCTTCTTCATCTTCTTCTTCTTCTTCCCTACATCTTCTTCTTCTCCTACATCTTCTTCTTCTCCTACGTCTTCTTCTTCTCCTACGTCTTCTCCTTCTCCTACGTCTTCTTCTTCTCCTACATCATCGTCTTCTTCTTCATCTTCTTCTCCAACGTCTTCTTCTTCTTCTTCCCTACATCTTCTTCTCCTACATCATCTTCTTCTTCTTCATCTTCTTCTCCTACGTTTTCTTCTCCTACGTCTTCTCCTTCTTCTCCTACATCATCGTCTTCTTCTTCATCTTCTCCTACATCTTCTTCTTCTTCCCTACATCATCTTCTTCTTCGTCTTCTTCTCCTATGTCTTCTTCTTCTTCTTCTCCTACATCTTCTTCTTCTCCTACATCTTCTTCCCCTACGTCGTCTTCATCTTCTCCTACGTCTTCTTCGCCTACGTCTTCTTCTTCTTCTCCTATGTCTTCTTTGCCTACGTCATCTTCTTCTCCTACATCGTCTTCATCTGCCGTTCTCATCTGTTCTTTTCTGTATTCTGTTTCACAATAACACTCTTGTTTTGTCTAGTGTTATAAATCCAGTTACAGTGGTGTGTCTTCACACAGATTGAGGCGTATTTCCTCCTCCATGTTGGGCCGCATTCAGCTCTAGTTTGGGTTTGGAAAGGCTTTGATTTATTTTTGATTTGTGAGGTGACGATGGCTCTTTACAGCTGCTGCCGGGTCCCTGAGCTCAGAGCGCTCGTGAAGCAGCAGTCTGACTCTTTCAGTCCCGATACCGAAAACTGAGCGTTGGGCATCGGCCAATCATCTAGTACCGATCTGATTCTGCAAACACCCCTGACTCGTCTTGCAGTCTCTCTTATTCTTTTTGTGTGTCATCACCATTTACAGCTACGCAACCAATATGTTGACGATTTACATTTTTAAAGTTGAACGTACTAGAGAACAACATTGTTAACAAGAGTACATGGATCTCTTTGTGTTGCTCTCAAATTGCACCAGATTGATGCATTTAACTTTGAAATCTATACAACGAAATGTTATTTCTAAATGAAAGATGTTCCAGAAGTCAGTGAGTAATCCTGTCAAATAATCACAATGTCAATATTGACAAAAAAAGGATGATTTTTGCCATAATCGAGCAGCCCCACTATACAGTAAGAGTATTCTCTTTTCCCTCTCTCTCTCTGCTGCACCTCCATGCTCTCCCTCTGTCACTCTATGCTTTGTTGTCCTTAGAGGGAGTCAGGAGGTGATGCTGCTGCGAGGCAGAGCTCAGTACTGTTGGTTCTAGCTGCAGCCCAGCTGTGTGTGTGTGTGTGTGTGTGTGTGTGTGTGTGTGTGTGTGTGTGT